ATGGAACTGGTGTAGCCTCTTCATAAATCCTTTGTGTCATCTTCAAAAGGTTGGAAAAATCACAAATACTTGTAGCAACTCCTAAAAGGACAAGGTCACAACCGACTGGAAGTGCATGGAGGGCGGCGGTGTCCATTGATGGGAAGTCCATTGATGATTTGCCCATTACCGATGGATTCTGAGAGCGGTCAGAACTTAACGGATTCTCGGTTTAAGAGTATTTACGGTCTCGATCAATATGCATTAATATTATTCGGTCCCGTGTTCAAATCTAAAAATGATCAGTGCGTTGCCACACGACCGGCCGTAGTTAGAGAATTGAATTCCGCCTCAGCCGCAATTTATAGATCGGAACAATCAATAGGTGCTGTTCTCAAAGCTACTTTTGAAAAGTAAACAAACAAGTAGGCGAGAAGACCTATGCGAGGATCGTTGCTTATTCTCACTCAGGGTAATGTCGCTAAGCCGTCAGATTCGTTTAAATAAAGGTTTCGGCAATAACGTCTTGCAGGTTCTGATGGCCACTAGTTACGAGTAGCAAAGAAAAGGTCAAAGTGTTTGTTTTTGCAGAACCAACTTGTTTTGCTATGCTGTAATTGCATTTTGAAAACCTGAATTAGACGTCAGATGACAATGAATCGATGTCGCCGTTGTCTAGGTGACACCACCATGAGAGGCGGCGGCGACTATCGCCGACGCCGTCGACGACGCCTCCACTCTACTTATGGACAAGTGTGATTGTTAGATGCCTTTCAACGTTTAATCTGGACTATTTCCCGAGATGAAGCTGCTGTCTATAACATGGATATTGATCGGCGTTTCTGCTTTTGCACCGATACCACCACCATCATCCGAGACAGATGAATGCATCGAGTTGAAGAACTCCAGTAAGGGTAAGTGGATGAACGAACATTAAGGTTATTATAAAAATTTTGCAAAGGTGCTTTGCAAAATTTACCGTAACCTGTTCGGACGTTTTTTTTTNTTTTTTTTTCAAAAATTTCAAACGCCGAGGGAACTGGTGTTCCTATCCTTCCGTGGTTAGGAGATGTTTTCTGGCTAGGGGCAGATTTTGTCCCATAACGGGATGTATTAGTCGACTAAGGTGGAATAGTGGCAGGTGATGTCGTGCCTATAGGCATGACTTAGGTAAGTCCCTTGAGAAAGTCATCAAAGCAAAATGAACACAAAATCTCTTCATCTCTACAAAATCTACTCGTGGGTACTCATACTCGTTTGAGAATGAAAAAGTGGAGAAATTAATGTTGCATTGAATGGCGCCCATATTCTGTGAAGACCTTACTTGCTGACTACTGAATGTCAGCCACACTCATGGCGCAATCTGATAAAGAGATAATTGGCATTGAGTCATCATTACATCTCGGAGGTTCGCTATATCTTTAGAATTATGTGAATCCTATTCCGATTTTACGAATTAGACGACTTCTGGATACTTACTAGCCCAGCCAACAACGCGAACTCCACCCTTTTTGCGGACATGGAGAATTACTTAATCTTCTTCCAATTATTGTTTTTTTCCGTAAGTATGTTAGGTCATGATCATCTAGTTGTAATCAAAACATTCTAATACTTGAGGACCCGTACCTCTGCTAAGTACCTCTCGGGCTCAGCCCCGTGGGAGGTGCATGGGATCTTGGTGATTAATCGGCAGTAGCCGAGAACATAGTATAGGCATTCCTTCATATTTCGTCTGAAAAGTGGGAACGTTCTTCCATGAATCAGCATCCGTATGACAACAAATATTGAATATTACACATATTAGAGGATAGGTGGAAGTAATCGATAGGAATGGCATGGTGTACAGCTTACTAGATTTTTTTCCAGTAGTTATTATAGTTTGTATATGTGAATCTAAAAAGATATTCTTTATGTCCTGAGAGGAGTTTCCATTTTTTCTGAGAGAATAAGCAGTATTCGTTACTCTTTGTAAAACAGCTTCACCAGAGCTTCTTGACTTTTATAAAAACAACTTGTAAGTGCACCGCTTTGTCTTGTCTGAGCACACACTTATTCCCCTTATCTAGTTTCATTGAATTCCTTTTAAACTTTAAATTCATCATAAAAAGAGGTTGATATTCGTTTCGAGTAATTTTACTGATCCGTCACTCCGTTACAGCTCTTTCCGGAGCCAATGACAACAAATACAAAATTTACAAAATACTGAAAATTCAAAATACAAATTTCGAAAACTTCATGGTAATAAGTGAATACAAACCGAAGTCAGGAATTTTTTCGCAGCTAACTTTCTTCAAAAAATTACGTGTTACCCCCAAGAGGTGTCTGACCTGGAAGGTTTGAAAGATGGGAAGTTTAGCAGCATTCTAAGATCTGATTTGAGTTGCATCTATGCCTTTTTGACATCTATACTAAGCCCTACTGAAAGAGTCTTATAGGCTTTCTTGATATGTCCTCGACGGAGAGAGCACGATTGGAAGCTTGTGTATATACGTATTTGACCGAAATGGAAAAGAAATTCAACCACGATCCGAACTCCTTCCATGCGGATCCCCCACCTGAACCGAAACTGGTGATCCAGGTATAAATGGGCCCTTTGTGCTATTCTATTCGTTCTCTGGAGCCCGAAAATACACAAATATGTTCTAGGTAGACGATGTGGCGATCCGTCATGTACAGCTATCACCGGGCAGTTCATATCAGTTTCAAATTTATGGGGATATCTATTTGGTGAGTGAATGTCTGGGAAAGGAATGGTTGACCGTCGATAGGCTGCACTTCCATCTCCTCACCTGTGAATACACACTCGAAAATTAGTATCGATTAGACGCGCGCAAAATCAATAATTACTGTACTTATATGCGTTCGTCAGCAGACAGAAGCTGGCAAAAATGGGAAAATATGACTACTGCTTGTCCGATTCCAGAGTTGGGAAGATACACGACTTCATTGGGATTCGGCCGAGTGGAAAGTGGACAACTTCTATATACACGATACTCATAAAATTTGGTCACCTAATTTGATTGATCACAGGTATGAAATAGCGATTCTGGAATAGCGGTTGGAAAAATCACCAGGGAGAGCATAGCCACTTCTAGTCCTCCATACAAAGTCACACTGCCGAGAGCAGCTGTGCTCTCCGTAGGATGGCTTCCAAGACTTACGGAGTGACTACGTATCAGAGTTTATAAGTAGTCATGGTGATTTTTACATTCCCTAACCTTGAAAATAAACTTATTGCTTCAGTATCTGTACGGACATAACTGTATGCGCTTCTGAACTTACCGATGTAGAGATCATGAGCGAAGGTCGAGCGTACGCTCGCTTAGCGTTTCGGTATTCCGCCTACTGCACCATTGACTATAGCCGGTGGGGTTTCGATTACTGTTTTTTTGAAAACTGAAGAAGCTTGAATGGCTTAAAAAATTTCGAAACTTGGCCATGGAGATTCGGAAACTTCAGATTCCCTGAAGATGAGAACCACTGCTGCATCTTTTTCACGGCTTTCGAAACGGATCGTGAAGTGAAATTCGATGTGGCGTCGGACCGCACCAAAAAGGTTTCTCTGAATTTCTGATTTCAGTAATAACTTTAAAAGCTAAAAAAGTATCTCTTCAATACCTTGAGGGTCTATTCTTATGTTCGTGGGTTAAATGAATTCTAAGTTGCTCTCGTAGGAGACTACGAATGAGCGGAGAGGAGCAAATGGACGTGCCAGTAATTGTTGTTGTTGTTCATTGAGGAGTAATGACTGCTTCAATTATCGTGGAAATTTACGATGACTTTGGTGATAATTTAAACCCTAAAATCCCAACAAAACCTTTCGCGTACAATTCCTTGAGGGGATATAGGCAGGTGGCTCTGGTGTGATTTATAAGCGAGTTTTCCCCATGAATGCCACCACCGCTCTTTTGACACCCCGCTTGTGAGAGTCGAGTTGGAACCCTCGCCTCCAAAACCTTCTTCTAGAAGCTTTATAGACTTTCAGATGCACAAATGGTAAGGCCTATCATCCGAAACCAGTTTACCCTGTGCTTGCGCCTAGCTGCTAAACCAGTTCTCTAGCCGAAAACGTTGCAAAGATTAGCTTCTTCTTCTTATTCGAAAACCCAGATGAAGGGAAGCGGGGTAGAGGGTAGAGAGGAAGTATTTAGTTCTAGTGAAAATTTTCATCGCTGAGGCTTATCTTTTCATTTGACAGAACTTCCCGGGTCCTCCTTTCTTAAGTTGTTTTCGGAGTTTATCCTACAGTAGGTTCTACCTAGTACTTAAATTCCACTCAGGAATTATAAAATAGAAACAGCAGGTGTATACCCGGCATTAGATTGGATATCAGCAAGCAAACTGCCTAGCAACGTAGCAAATGAAGTAGAAGTCGAGTAGTAGTTAGCTATTTTTAGAAGCCCATTTCGTTTGTTTAGATTTTCGACATAACATATTTATTAAGCTAATTTTAAGTGATAAGGTAATCAATTAACAACCACATTCTACAACTGTTTTTTCGGGTATATGCTATTCGCTGAGAAGAACACCCACAATCTTAATTACTATTAATCGTTGATGAGGACAAAAGCAGAGGGACGGGAAGCCCCCAGGAAAAAAAGGACCCTTCTTGAAAATGACTTTGATTTAGCTCTCCTGTCTGCTCTCTAGCTTGAGGAATAGGATCTCAGCAATGTCCCGATGTAGGACAGATGGACAGCTTGGCCTTCCCGAGACGTCATAAATCCTTGCTCATTTAGAGTTGGGATATCTTGAGAATGTAAAAGGGCTGTGTTTGAGGCCTAATTACGTCTTGTTTTTGACGTTCTCGTTGCAACATGCCACTTATGGGTTCCCTTAGCTCCTGGGCACCCCTGCTGAGCCAGATTATCTCAAAATCTGCCTTAGAGCTGGGAGCTTTTCGTGTGTATTTCCTTCGAATATAGGGGATAACTTGCTATCGCCTGGTAACAAGCCGAGAAAAAGGAAAAGTGGAAGGATTATCATCCAATACTTTCAGGTGAATCGGCCAGTAGCAATGCAGAATCTCTACGATCGAGTAAAAGGGCTCTCAACGCTTGCCGATGAACATTCAGCTTGGGTAGTTGATGTAGGTTATAGGAATATGGATTTTTATTAAGAGAATGTTCTTATCCAATGTTAAGAAATGCAGTGATAATTAGTGATAACTTCTGATCTTTAAGGAACATACTGTGGAGATCACACATCTGGCGGGTATACAGTCGTTGGAAGTGTTGAAGGTTTGCGTACATGCCGAGAAGAAAATGAGCACGATTCGAATGGCACTGAAAATTCCCATAACTATTGCTACGCTCATCATGTTGGTGAGGAATTCTATTCAACAGAAAGGCAGTTTGGATCACATCAGAAGATCTTTTTTGCGATTGTTCTTCGGAACGGGCCGAGAGACTTTAATTTCCCTTTATGGTAGTTGATTGTTGTCTCAGGTCATTTGTACGGCTTCCTCGAATGATCGGCGGCGAAGCAAAGTTGTAGAAATATCCTGAGCTAAAACTCTAATTTTGTGAAGACTTCTGCAAGGTTAATACTCAGGCTGAAGGAGAGTCGATATACGGTACTAACTATTCCAGATGAATGATTTCATGAATGATCTTAATAGGCTTGATGTTTTGTTAACTGCTGTTTTACCACCGCAGTACGTGAAGCGAAAGTCTCACAAGAATGGCGATTTGTGGGCAAAAATCCAGTCTCGGACGGGACTCGAACCCGTNGCTTTACATGTCAGTACTTGTTTTGACTTGATGTTTTGTTAACTGCTGTTTTACCGCCGCAGTACGCGAAGCGAAGAAGCCTATTAAGAAGGCGAGGGCAAGCGGGCTCTCGGTAGTGTAAGGGATAAGAGCACGGTCCCCGGAAAGGACAAGTACGGGTTCGAGTCCCGTCCGAGACTGGAGTTTTGCCCACAAATCGCTATTCTTGTGAGATCTTAATAGGCCTTCCAAGAAAGGATCGCGAACTTTTGATTTCATTACGATAAAAAAGTTGTCAGGCACGCCGAGTACTTTCGTGTGCATAGCTCGGTAGAGTTCTTACTTCGTTACGAAAGTGTCACAATGGACACGACAGTACTTTCTCTAGAGCTTGATAAAGTTTTTTCGGGTGCCAAGGTCTTTCATAAATAGGTCCCTTGTCATAGTTCATGTCTAATTCAGGTTTCACCACTGTTCGGCGACCTGCGTACACAAGTCTACATAAAGTTGTTTATACTTTCATTACAAACGATCTGCTTCATCTATCTCTGCTCCATTTCTCCACCAAATGGCTTTTCTGGCACCAGACCGAAACTATGTGAGTTCAGAAATGTGAACTACTATAAGTTTATGTCTTGTAATTCAAACAGTCAAAAAGAATAACTCAAAGGTTCTGGTTCCTTTAAGACTTGTTCATTGTTAACTAGTTAGGCATAAGGAAGTAAAACATTGGTCGAATACCTTTCTTTCAAATCGGATTGCTCGTACACATAGGTTCCTCATTCCAGATTCCTACTACGAGCTGATCTTTGCGATGTCATCAGTTAGCCTTCTGATGACGCTTGCATGTGTAGCGTTGAGCCGAGTGAAGCGAACAATCGCTCCCACCCATCGATTCTATCTGGCTGCAAAACTGGTAAGAAACTTTCAGTTCCATCGTTGGATCCATTTAGGGTTTCATAGCAAATGAAGTATTCACGTTGTCTAGTTATGGAACAATCATATGAGGAAAGATCGAAGAATAAAGTCCTGCAGTAGCCTAAGAATGCTGCATTTTTGTTTGTTTAGGTCAACCGTGTTGTGTGTTGTATCGAACCGGATCAAGCAACATCATATCACAGATATCTCGAGGATGCCGACAATCAACGGACATCGAATGAGGTAACAACAGACAGTTACAGTACGTTCGAGCTTTCTCCCTTTCCCTCTGATCGAGAAAAACTACCCTTCAAATAGATAGCACAAGATGAAGTAATCATTCTTGGGTTGTGGGAGCCTGCATGAGTCACGGTGCTCCCCACTTAGCATTCATTCCCTCATGATGAACGAACAACAAAAGTTAGTGCATCCTGCTCATCAAATGAACCCTTACAATCTTTTCCAATTCTAGGACAAAATCTTTGCACATTTGTTCGTCTTGTTTTCAAAAGAAACCCTACTGCTGAGGTCGCTACCTTCCACTTCCTCGGTAAAGAGCAGCCCGACAATGAGGTTCGCTTCCTCCCGTGAGGGACTATAATTATTGCCAAGCACCTATGAAGAAGCTATCCATCTTCTTACCCCGACTACTTCATCTCGAAATGAATCCGCTTTGAGCGGTCTTCCCTAAGACCGTACAGTGCATTACGTGCTCGCCTGAAACACGGTGCAGTTTAGGAGCTCACTCTGTTCCGGCCACTGTGTTTCATTTTGAAGGGATCTAGACTGGAGTATTGGAGCCCCAGAATCCAGAATCCAAAGGCTATCCAATCAGTTCCTGCCCTGTTATTATGGCGACACTCTGAGGGTGTCTGGGTTCCATAAGGAAAAATAATGAAATTTTCTTGCAGCCTGATGCAACTATGGAATGGAGACATGTATATTTGGCAGTGAACAACACGGTCTCCGGAATGTTCTTCTCTCTTTTTCTGTTGATCGTTCTAGTTTACTGGTTCTGAACTTTTGTGATTGTGGATCATCGCTTTAGGGTCTTTTGATCGTATCGTTGCTCAAATGCGAATTTATTCTCGATAGACCTAATGCTCTGTAGCTGTGGAATCTATTTTTTAGCAGTATTCTCGTGATAAGTGCTTTGTCAACGATAATCAAATGCAGGCGTAAGTAGCAAAGTGGACGTTAGGTCCGGATTTTTGCCTTGCGCCTATTCGTCAGTAGCTGCCCTTAGTGATAGAGAAAGCAGCGGTGAAGTATTGTGAATACCATATGAATAGGATGCCAAAGCTGAAGGGCTCCCTGTTCACAATCATCTCGTTTCTATATTTGCCTCCTTCATAAGCATTAGTATCGTGCATACGCAGTAACGTACACGCCGCCCTGAGGAACGGACCTAACGGCCCACATTTCCCGCTGTACTTCTGAAGTACCATGATCCTCACAGAGTTTCTCGCTTTACGGCACGTCCCTTGGCAGACAGGTGGGGTTTCGAGCACCGATGACAACTGTGTTCCTTCTGCTATAAGTCTCTTCCCTTCCAATACCATGAACAACTGAAGGAAACGGCTCTATCAACAGAGAAGAGCTTTTGAGAACCCCTCCTCCCCACCCTTTAAGCCAGTCGAAACGTTCATTAGATTGCTCTCAAACGTTTTCGTGGAAGCTAGTCCGAAAGCTAGTAAATAAATGATTGTCATATTATTTCGATTTTACTATTCTCTGCAGTGTATTAATGTCAATAAATGTCGGATACTGGAAAATGGAAATTGATGATCCAGAACGCGACTTGACCAACAACATATTTTGTAGGTGTCAGCGATGGCACTATGTAGGCGAGGGCAAGCGGGGTCTCGGTAGTTTAAGGGATAGAGCTTGAGGCCCGTAAAACACAAGCACGGGATCGAGTCACGTCCAAGGCTGAAGTTCTGACCATAAACCGCCAACTTTGTGAGACGTTCGGAGCGCGTACTGCGGCGAAATAACAGCAGTTAACAAAACATCAAGTCAAAACTGTGAAACGTCTTTCTCCAAATTGTGGAGGGTCTGGAGTGATTTCAGGGCACGTCCCCGAACCTGCTCGATTGGAGCAGATTCTAATTTCGAGATGAATTGGGGACTTCGAAGGAGCTGGTTGCGTAGGAATGCCAGAGCAACATTGAAACTAACAAAGAGTTCTACCTCTAAACCTTGCAGGGCGCAAAACCGATACCAGCCCAGAATGTTGGGTTTAGGTAGAAACAAGGGCGAAATTGAAGAGCCGTTCACAAAATAATAATTGATCGGATATTTATTTCAATAAATCCTGTAGTGTCAATATTTGGATCAGTGCTTTTCACTCTTCTCAGACTGCTTCTCTAGGTCATCAGCGATTTTCTTGAAGTCTTCCTGAAACTTCTCAAGCTTACAAAAACTGTCTGCTCTTGAGGGTATGCTATATGTGCAGTAGAAGGCAGTTAAAATGATAAGCTGGTAGTAGGAGAACTGTTTGGAAGAACGTTTCACTCCATTCTTCTAGCGTTTCTTACTATACCGATCGAACCTTAAAAGTTTTTACAGGGTGGGGAATGAAGGGCCCGAATTCCGTGTGTCTTTCATAAGCCCATCAATGTCATTAGCATCCTAGCGATGAAAACGAATCTATTAGTATGGTTCAGTAGCCGTTCCTTATTGAAGTTTAGCTCTAAATATGGTGCTAGGTAATCGGTTGATCCTTTTTTTCAACACACAAATAGTAACATAACTCTTTTTTCCGAACACATACACAGGCTCATTTTCGGTCAGTGGGTAACAGTATCACTCTAAGAGACAGTATCACTCTAAGATGCGCGACTGCCTTTCCTTCAAAAAAGGTTATGGGCTCCTCCGTCTACTCCCTAGCGTGAATCCCTCGTTGTCGCACGGTCCACTGTTCTTATATCTGAGATGTGGGATGAAATGTGAATCTAATTTTGAGAGGATTCTGGAGCACCTTCGGTAGCATAGTATAGTGTACTGGCCATGGGCTACACTATATGGATCAGGATAGTTCTTTTCTAGTGGCATTGAAGAGAACACTAAGTTTTTCGGAAAATAGCTACAGCTGAAGACGGCTATGAATCGGAATATTAGTTCGTGGAAAACCTCACCGATAACTGATTGAATTTAAACAGGTCGATAGGTTGGGCAAATGCCGAGTCCAGCTCGTGTCTGGGTTCAGTATTGCTGCTAATGAGGAACTGATTGAAAGATGATACCAGTGACTCGCATGGATGACCACGAGCAGAGCAGCGAGTTGTAAAAAGAATGCGATCAGCCTGGTCTTTCCTTAAAAGGGTATTACTGGAATGGATAGGCATGAGCNCTTGCGCTAGCACTTACTTTTCTATTGTATTTGCCCGCATGTGAGTTAGTAGACTAAAAATGAACGTTCCCACCGCATATTGATGTAGAGATATTGATATGGCGTTGGTAAAAACAACATTATTGTTTAGACCTGATTAAGGATACAGTAATTTTTCAGATACATTTAAACGTGAAGCTTATAACCACTTCATTGGCCTTGGGTGGTCCCGGGCCTACCCCAAGAAAATCGCAAATTAATGAAAGGGAATTCATGCTGGAATAGATTGAGCAAGTAGGGTGGGCATTTTGGCAAGCAGGAAATATGTCTGCTTCAGAATAAGAAGGAACTATAGATGAATACTTCATATGTTTCTCACTTTGGTAGACCATTCACTCTCCACCTTTACCTAAGCTGTGGAATCTCTATTAAGAAAACCCTGCATTCCTCTTAGTACTCCTCACGTTCTCTATACTTCTATATGAGTAATGACGTGAACTCATTACGATTTAATTGATTTTAGTTCCAAATTTACGACATGTGCTATAACTGTAAACCAACAACCTCTCCAATGAGTTATTAACCAGTAAATCATGACGGGCCGAGTTCTCATCAGGCAAACTAAAATGCAGAGCTGCAACGGAACACACAACAGAGGTAAAAGCCTCAGTTTGAGCCTCCACGTAGACTTCAGAAGACCTCTGTGGATTGTGAACGCAGAATACAGACTCGAGTCAGTCTTTATTTCATTTCTTCCAACGAGACCTTTCATAAGTGGACATCAAGAAGTTCCGACTTCCATTCCAGACAGTAGAGGCAATTTCAATGCGTATGGGGTCTATACAATGAATCGCGGTCTCCAGCCTACGTTCTTGTCAGTGTTTTTATCCTCAAATACGAGTCTGGTTCCAATTGATCGACCTCGGAGGGTTAGGAGCTCGGTTGGTGTGGGAGAGTGTCGATGCTAAATGAGTACAACAGAATTCACAGTTATAGCGATTGCTCAAAGTACTACATGGCTTACTCAGAAGTAATCGACATGCTTGACGTAATTTCGACTGAAATACGAATATAACGGTAGGATTGACGACGGTATTCAGAATGGTAACAGTCATAGCAATATAGAATGGAGTTCGTGAACCACTCATTGTGGAAGGTAGCATGTAGAAGAAGTTGCTCGCACAGAATTGAATTACACAAATTGTCACGAACTGCGATACCTGAAAAGTCAGACATATATTCCTCTTCCTGGAATAGTGGGCTCCGCCTAGCTCACTATGAACCGATTGATTCGTTCCGTTTTCTCTCTTAAAGGCACCGTTCACAAAAAAGTTAGGGTACCCTT